CGGCTGTGATTCATGGTGACGTTTTCTAGGCAGGGCAGAGAGGGTGGAATAGGGTGGCCGGGGACCGGGCTATGATGTATCGTCATTAACATCGGTTTCGTATTAGAACAAATACGTCCGTGTTTTTAAGCTCTAAAAGGCGCGACGTGTCTCGGTGTAATAGGACGTAATACACCCCACGATGAAGTCTTTTAAACTTTGTTCCTGTTCGTACGGCGGATCAGATGATATAACCATTAATGAAATATATTCGAGCATTACGAATGTCATGTTTTTAAAATGATGAAACCTTGATTCATACTAATTGACGTATACGCCTTACGAAAGAAATTTTATTCTGTTTTCAGAAATTTATTCGTTTTCTAACAAAAAATCTTCTAAATTTAGTTTTTTTTTAGTACCAGCAGGATAAAGTTATATAAAAGAGAACTCTGTAATGCGTTTATTTTAATCGTTATATCAGATCAGTGATTTTTTTTTATTAAAAAATGGATGATACGATATAAACTTTTGGCATGTCATATAGAATTAATAGAAATACCCTGTTAAAAAGCGAAAATGTTATATATACAAATGTAGAATATCAATTTGACATTTGGATAATCATAGAATACCATATATCATTATTCTAGTTTCAAATAGATACTGACATTTGCATAACTAAAATTAAATTTTCACAAAAATTTTACTGCGAAATTTATAAAGTATATATTAAGAGATGTAAAACACAAAAGGCCTACGGCTATTTATAATATTCAATTTTTAATTTGAAATCAGGTTACGATCATCAGTTGACTTCTAAGTACTCTTATCTTTAGATGTTCTCGTGATAAAAATAAAGATGTAGATCTTAAAAGTTAATGCAGTCTTGTCAAACATCATAATCGAGGTCTGTAATGAATGTACGGATAAATAACTGCATGTTTCACGGAATGGAAGGTAAATCATCCCCCGTCGCTTGGTGGAGCTCGGTCACAGGCTGATGCGAAACAAAGACCGCGACAGGGGGGCGAGTGCAACCCCCGCTCGTTCACGGTCGCCGTAATTCACAGTTTGGTGGCGCGTTTATTAACGGCGGCGCGGCGTCACTTCGGGCTACGCCTTTTTAATGATTTATCGTGCACGCGCCGAGACATGCGTAGCCCTTTTGCGGGCCAAAGTTCGACGTCTTCCTCGGAGCCCCGCGGGGCCCTTTCCCTCCTTCATCTTCCGCCAGCTGCCGATCGGTGAGAAGTGCAGATGGAGGCGCAGATGTTGCGTTTCAACCCTGTCACCGTTCGTAACTGCATAGTTCCTCTTCTTGTTGTCGAGAGACGTCTTCCTCCTCTTCGCGTTAGGCGAATTATTAAATCGGATATGACCGACAGCTTTTCCGTTCGCTTTTAAGATAGAAATTAAAACTATTATAGAACAACGTCTGAGACGCGAAAATGACAATGGAAAACAAGATAAATACAGAAAGAACAGTTTTGCTGAGGCATCTAACATTTTAACTAAATACAAATCTGAAAATAATTTTGTTGAATCAAAATCATCATCAAAATAATTATATAAGATGTTCAAATTGGTTGCTAGAATATCAAAATATTTTAAAACACTGTTCATCATATTTGAGATTCTTACAAAGTTATTTTCAGATCTAGCTAAATTTTTAGATATTTCAGTAAAATCGATTAAAAAAGAAAAACGTTCTTTCCATGTATAGGCTGAAATGGATGAATAGCAAACAATTAATGTAACAATGTTACAATTGTATCTGAATGAACGACTGTTATATGAGAAAATATTAATCTAAGATTGAGTAATCGAGGATTAATCAACAGAGACAAGCAAATGTTGTTTTCTTTTAACATGACTTCATCGTGATGCGCAATACTGATCGCTTCTGTCAATGCGCTCGGCGTACTGATCGCGGCAGTTTTTAGCGAGATTGAAATGAGCCTTGCGTGGATATACTGAGCCGAGTAATAAAGGATACTACTCATTATCGACGGAGAGTAATCGATGGTTTTATGACTCAGGTTCTGCCACGATGTGTACGCCTGGCACGATAAAAAGATGCCGGATAAACCGAATACTGGACAGACGATAAAGCGCGGTGAAAAACGTTTAATTGGACTAGATTGTGGACGGCCGAGGTGGTTGGAGCGTAGATGACCGGTTTGCGCAGGCACGTAAAGTATTGACGGTAAACTTCGGAAAATTCTGCCTCACGTTGAGAGCGCCAAGCCGTACGCTAAATTGCTCCCCCGATGTATTACCAGGAAGGGCGTACGGAATTTAGAGTACGCGTATCCTCTTAACGCCGAGGTTACGCCGCGGCGGAAAGAAGGTCGCTATATACTCGACATCGAGGCTTTAATCGCGTAACTGTACCCCGCTGCCCGTTCTAACCCTTCATTAGGCGCGCATCTACTTTCTGTGATTTTTATTTTAGCGACCGTCCGTACCGGCGCGAATATCGTACGTACATAAAACGCGGCTTAAATTAATCCGCGTGTAATGGTCTCACAAGGTTACTCCTCGATCGTTCCCGATGCTGATGGCGCGTGCGCTTCATCTGCACTAGAGGAGTACATGAGATGGGTACGATGATTCCTGATGTACGAAGCGGGAGATGGGGAGAATATTAATATTTTGCAACTGTAAAAACGTACGCTGAAAATAATCTGACGAATTTTCTGATGAGAAAAATTAATTTTTAAACATCACAAACGATATCGTGAACATATAAGGAATCTTAATGCTGAACAATGCTGCAAAAAGTTTTAACGTTTTAAGAACCAATTTCAGTGTGCTACGTAATTATTTTGGTGATGCAAGAAAATTATTTTCAGATCTGTATTTAGTTTTAAGATACATTAGCAAAACTGTCCTTTCTGTGTAGACTCAACTATATATACTCGACAAAATGAGCTTTATAAATTATATATAATTATGATTTCATATTCGAAGCGAACTCTCTTCCTCTTTCTCTCTCTTGACACCAATGGACTTTAGTCCCGGACGGGTTCATGCATGCGATACACATCCCGCGAGCACGGGCGGCCCAGGAAGCCATCTTGTTAAACTCCAGGGATTTCCGGGCAAGGACGAAAGGATCATTAGCGTCGAGCCGGATTCATCGCTCATACGCGAGTTCCCGTGCGATGAAAATTGCATGAAGAAAAGACAGACACGTCCCGTCCTGTCGATATAAATAAAGTATCGAAGGGATGGACACACTTCGGCTCATCCGAACACAACGACGAGCGAAATGAAAAATGCCGAGACGGCCGATCAATGTAAATATATTCATGACATGGGGTGGCCGAGCGGCCACAGGGATGCCGGGATATACATATACGCGTGTACGATGGGGTTTTATAGGATGGGGTTCGCTGAGGACTCGATGGCACTTGGACGGCACATAATTCACTCTTTGGCAGCTCATTACAATTTAAAAAGACCTTTGTCAGTACACTACTCGTGATTTCGTTCACGGTCTCGTGGCGCTCGCGTATCGCCGCACCTTCGGTGGCAGCTAACGATGCTCTACTTAGTTCTTTCGTCATGTGTTAAGTTTTCAATATGAAATTAGAAACGTAAATTAAATCCGGTTACACCATGTTAAGAACTTGCGCCAATTTAAGTCAAATCAATTTAAATATTTTGTTAAACTAAATAATATCTTTAAATTAAATATTTAAAATATAAAGCGTTTATAATTTCTACACTTACATACGTTTGAAAATCTTTTTTTAACAATTATCTACTAGAAAAAAGAGTAATCCCGCTGTTGTGACAGTATAGGTATCTTCCTGCACGTGTCACATCCAAAATGTAATCTAATTAATTATATTCATTATCTCGACAATAATTTTGCCGTTATGCACGATCGACTTTTACCGCTAGGAACGTATATCACAGATTATTATCCTAATCACTGACGGATCAATAATGACGAGTTCGTTTTCTCTCGTCCGCGAAACCGGTTTGAAACAAAGAATGACGATAGGCCAGGAGATTTCTAATTTAAGTCGTTCAAACGGCCACATTGAAAGAAAAATAACTACGTACGCGTTTTCAAAACTGATTCCGTTCATTATAGTCAATTTCTTTACATCGATAATTTTGAATTGACATACAAAGATGTATACTGATTTATGATGCAAGAACATATACGTTTATTGGTATACCGAGAAACTGATATTTTTCCTAATGATACAGTAAAAATATAAATGTGTAGATATAATAATTGTGTGAAGAATAAATTTGTTTTCGAAATTTGTTATGATATTTAATATTGAAATAAGTTTATAAAATTTTCTGTTTTAAAATGTAACAGTTCTATATTGATATATATTTTCAAAACGAATATACAAAAACAATATTAGTAACAAAGCCGTTACTCCTTTTCTCAATATTCATCTCTCCAATATCACGTAAAAATAACAGGTCTCCGGTCTTTGATGACTAATTACTTACACGCATAAACTAAAAAGTACGCGCTGTAAGAATTTATGCAAAACTCCGCTAATCGGTGAGCGGCCCACAAGCGTTTGAGTGCCCGATTATCTCGTTGATTACGCACTTCGCTCGCGTTTTATACTTTAACACGTTTGTTAATCACTCTAATCCGCCTTCGACGAGCATTTGCGAACCCGGCAATCCGTGGGAATAATTACTACGTACGCCGCTCGTAACGTGTGCCTTTTTACGCAACGAAATGCGCGCGAGATTGCGACACCTTTTGTCCCGACGTAACACACGGAGAGTCGAAACCGGACAGAACCGGGTGGTAAAAAGAAAAAAACAAAAAGACGAAAAGAGAGCGTGTGTGCAACTGCGTTCCCGCGGGATCGGAAGGAGAAGGAGAAGCTCGAAATTGATATGTATTCCATGCCGCGCCGCGTCCAATCTATCGTGGGTCAAGCAGGCGGAATTTTAAGCGCGGTTTGACGTATGCGCGTGTACGTACGTGCGTATCGCGTGCTCGGCCACTGGGTGTCGAAATAGCCTCAGACGATGAAACTGTGCGAAACACAGTGGCCGATCGGCCCCTGGATCACCTCCTTGCATTCAGAAACTTACGAGGGCATAAAGTATCCCCGATGTCTTATATCGTCGAATACACGCGTATTCGAAGATACGTGTGCGCGCGCGCTTCTTTCTATTGTGTAAAGGGGTGGTGCGCGGCCACGATGCCCAACGAGGGTTGGGCGGTGGTCATCGTTGGAAAATTGAATTTCGTCCCTGAGGGCCTGTCGGATGAAGTATGCTGACAGTTGGAAAATTTGCGTTTAACCGCGCGCACGCGACACCAGGCACCAAAATATCCCCGGGAAAATCTTCCCGCCATCGTTCTCTCTTTTTTTTCACTTTATTCTCTCTTTTTTTGTCAGAAGTGCGCTTGAAACGTGCGAATTCCGATATCGCGAGACACTCGACGATTATTTGAAGATATGGACTTACCGTGAGGCACCCATCCATGATGACAGTTCTCGCAGTAGCGCAGATGACGTTTCCCGGGTGTGAAAGATTCGCAAGAGCAGCCGTTCACCGTACAGCGGATAGACTGCAATCAGAAACAAGGTCGTCACTGTAGAGAGACTATTAAGTTACAGAGAAAGTATCATATAACATTTAGGAAGAGTCGTTATAGCGGTGTCTATTCAGAAGGAAGGTTTCGTCCATATTCCACGTATCTCAGTTCAGTACGGATTAAGGGACGATTGCCGTAGGCAAGTGGAAAATGGACGACAGGGGGTTCTTGGTATATTTTGAGTGACCGTTTGGCGTAACGTCACCCCAGAGGAAGCTCGTAAGAGACAGGCTCGTCGGATTTTAAGGAACCGTGAATATTTTCCGCCCTTCGGCTCAGAATTAACCCCCTGGGATCGACCGTCCAATACCGCCTCCTTCCTCCTCGAAGAAGAGGAAAGGAACCAACCTCGCGTATCGGTATTACTTTATATGTATATACGAGAACGTGGTATAGAAAACTTTATTCGCCGCGCTGTTGCAAGTTACCTGCAGGTATGTACCTACATCGAGATATCGACGTACCTCGTCGCCGCCGTACTGCATCGAGACGAGAAGGCGGCATGGCATCCCTTCCCCTTCAACACCCATGTCTATTATAGATCTGAAAGTTCGCCCACGAGCAACACGAATATGCACTAGGAAGTTCGATTCGCAATTATCGCGCTAATGCACTTGGGGGACCGTTCGAGATTTTACGTAACACCACGTCATATCGCTCTTAGATACTGCGACTTAATTTCATTTACTCTTTTAATAATACAATATAGCAACAAATATATAATTTTACTTTTGTTAACAGTTTCAATAAAATATTGAAAATTTTAGTTATACTAAGATAAAATGTACTAAATTTTAATAAATATTTGTTTAATAGTAGTAGCTAAATATTCAGTGAATGTAAACGAGTATTTATTTTGTTTAGAACTGTATTAATTTTTTCAATTACCATTTTTTTATTTAATAAATACATATTTATGTACCGTAAATAAATTAAGTTTGTACTATTCAAATATTTATTAAAACTTAGTACATTTTTTCTCATTGTACACATAAATCTGAAAATAATTTTGTTTGAATTATTAAAATAACTGTGTAAGAAGCTCAAAGCTAAATAGCTAGAATATTACTAAAATATTAAAAGTTTTTGCAACATTGTCATCAACACTTAAATGTTCTACATAATCATTTTAATGATTCAATAAAATTATTTTCTGCTTTTAATTATAATAATTTTATAACTACTTCAGCAAAACCATTCTCTGTACACGGCTCTTAAATCCTTATTATTCTTTATAAAATTATTTAATTTTATTTTAAAAAATAACAAAAGAATTTAAAATTATTTTTCTATCTCTCTCTCCAATTATTTTCTTGTTTAATCTCTGTTCGTTAAGATCAATTCAACTTGAGAGAAAGTTTAACTTCTTTTTCTAATAAACACATAAATAAATATACACTTTCCTAACTTTATCTTCGATCACGATCATCACGCATCTTCCATATCAGCGAAAACACAATTTTCCGAGAGACGCAACCCTCGGCGACGTTCGCACGGGTAATAATTTGGAATCAGGGGCAGTTCTCGCTGCCTTCGTCCCTCGTAAAACGGCAGCGCGTTTATATAAAGAGGCGAAAAAAAGGGAAGAGAACGTTGGGAGGGGTAAAAAGTTGTTTCACGGCGGTGTTAGACGCCGACGCTACGTTGTGTTGTCGTCATAACGCCGTTACGGCGTTACACAGCAGCGTTAATATAAAGACAAATGAAGCGACGCCACGGTGCACGCTGTGCCGCCTCCTGCTCTGCTCGGCTATGTGTCTTTATATAGACAGTATCCCGTGCCACCGTGAAAAACGCATCCGCTGGGAATCTTCTGTCGCGCGAAGAAGCGATGCGCGAAGACGATGGTTCGACAAAATTTCGCAAGCGGTAAAATTTTATTAGCCACACTGCGGGTTATTTATTCGGAACGGCGACAGATTATACGGCGATATTAGCGGAGTTGCTCCGCGTAAGAGGGAGCATTACATCAGAATAAAAAAACGTGCGCGGTATAACGTCTTGCGCTTCGCAAGCGACTTTCTTCTTTCGAGGCGGATTTCATTAATAGCCTTTACATTATACTTTTATCCAATTTATTAATGTAATTTTCAAATTTTTTTTAACTGTTATGGCTCTTTTAATTTTTCCTCTTTATTTTATAAAGCAAATTTGTGATAATCAACTAAAATAAAGCATATCTTTTTTATTTTATTTATATGTGCTTATTTTTTATATACGTGATTTTTTTTAAATTTGTTTCTCAACATATCTTTTACAAGTAATTGCGGAAAAATATGTGATTAAAGCATTGTAAATGTTAATTTGATAAGAAATAGGTCACTGATATATAAAGATAAAATTCAACTGTGAACAAAAATATATTTGCTGACGATCTATACAGCGTTTATATATTATGTTATCGTAATATTGTACGCGTGTAACACTTCCTGGATCTTTCACTTCCGTCTGGCACTGTCATTCTATTTGTCTTGCGAACGTGATAATAGACCAGCCTCGCGATGACGAATGCCATTTCTCGAGTTACACGTACAAAAGGTGTGTCGTTTATTCGTTCCAGTTCTTTTTCATGATATTCCAAGCCGACTTCTCTTACATACGTTTGAATCAAAGTCTAGTTCACGTATCAAGTCCGATCAATGTGCTGATATGCATATCGAGTTTAAAGTAATGAATTGAATAACCAGAAAAGAAATGATTCCTATACACACACAGAAAGTACGATTTTTCTGAGGTATCTAAAAATTTAACTGGATACAAATTTGAATAGTTTTGTTGAACAAAACGATTATGTAAGTCGCCCAAATTGGTTAACATGACATAACATTTTTTTACAGCATTGTTTACCATTAAAATTTCTACGCAATTATTTTAATGGTTCAATAAAATTATTTTTTAATCTGTATCTATCTAAATTTTTAGATACTCTAGTAAAATCGTTCTTTCCATGTAGTCATAGAATAAGTCGATTTTTGCACCTCAACTCTGTTTTTAAATTATTCATCGTTCAAGTTCGTTGTTCACACTTATAGCCTCAGGTTTCTTCGGCACATTCAACTGATATAAATTTAAATGAGTAAATTGTCTACCCGCTGATACATCCAAAAATATATACAACTCTAACAGATTACAGTCCCGTAAAACTTGTACCGTGAATAATTTATAAAATAGTACCGTTTATAAAAAGGAAGTCGTTTAATATTAAAGAAGAAAAATGTAAAACTGTGCCGATATAATTATGTATAAAGGTTCTGCGACCCCATAACTAATGTAAAATAACTTTTTTTCAAGTTACTTTTCATGACTCATTACTCCACTATTCCACGGTTGGTATATAACGCGGATCTGCCAGTGCGATGGATTCGCCAGGTTCTGGCTCGAGTGTCTCTATCACCTCAGTCGTTCCCCTTTTACTTTCGCGTACTGTCTTCTGGTATCGCGCCATACAGAAGGCAATAACATTTTTACGAGCCTCGAAACATTTATTACCACCTGTAAGCTGCCACGCAGTTTTTTCATCTTGCTCTTTCCCTGATACGTACTCGCTTCTTAAGGAGAAGTGAGCGTGTGCGTATGTAAGTATCACATGTATGTAGGTATGTACTTCTTGATGATTATACTTTCGATTAGAACGATAACAGCTCTGGGAACGTCTACTTAAAGACTCTTTCCATTCTCCGACGCGATTAATATCCCGGAAGCGGCTCCAACGACAACTTTGTTCCATCGTTAATGTTTGTTGCTACAATTTTTATCGACACCCTTTCATTTAGAGCTACAAACGGATAATACACTCCGCTCAACCATACTTCTAACATCCCAGTTTAAGAGATTAGAAATATATGGAAAAGTGATTTTTTTATTATTTTGATAATCCATAAAAATTATTTTCAAATTTGTATTTAGCTAAATTTTAAATACTTCAGTTTTTTTTCGTGTATGTATTGGTCATCGGAAATATTCTTTCAAACTAAACTTATATTTGTAGAAAGAAAAGAGAATGATTATGCATGTACATACTGAATAAGAAATAAGAAAAGAAATATCATAATAATGTAATGTTGAATATGTTAAAATAATATATAAGGTATATAACCTCTATAAAAAGTGCTTAAAATTGAAAATTTATACTTTTTGTATAAAACTTATTACATACATATGGAATAGTTCCACAAGATCAATACGTATTATATTTAATAATACAATTTCATAGTTTAAATAAAAGCGTTATCATTTTATCTCAATAATTTTTTAAAAACATCTACTTTTTATTGAAAAAAATTTTTATTCTGGTTTTAAATCGTTGCTAAACTTTGATTACTTTCAATACATTACAAAAATCTAACTTTTTCATAATTTTTTAACTCTAAAAACTACGTAATGCCTGTAAAAATTTACTGCAGAATATATGAACAAAATAAAAACTTCTACATTATGATAACTCTTTCGCACGAATATTTTTTCTTCTAAAAATGTCGGATGATATCGACATTCAGTGAGTATTTATCACATGTCAGTGGATTTGTGTGTACGTGCTTTTGAGATCCGTGCTACGTTCCCTCGCACAACAAAAGTTGCGCGCAAAAAGCTATTACGGAACGCCCGCGTACCCTGCCAAATCGTAATTAACGGGGCGCAAGGTGTATGGTATTTAGGACGCGCTCCATCCTTCGGATGTGCGCGTTGCGTTGCATTGCGTTTTCCGTTGCATTACAGCGCTTAAAAAGCCTTGCGGCGCGCGTGCTGAAATTAGCGTTCACGGCAGCTGGCTTTTTTATCGATCGAAAGAGTAAGAGAGATGGAGTCGCTTAACTGCGCGCTCCCGAGAGCTCCGTCCACCGATCAATCGATCGAGCCTGTCATACAGATCGTGATCGATCGCATCCCCGCGGCTAAAAATTCTCGGTCGGTCAAGGTTTCCGGAACGCCAGTTCCGGAATTTCGCGAAAGAACGCAATAGTTTTAACTGATGC